CAGTCACTATCTATACCCACACTACAGTCACTATCTATACCCTCGCTACAGTCACTATCTATACCCACACTACAGTCAATATCTATACCCTCACTACAGTCACTATCTATACCCTATGTTTAGTCTTTGTCACTTTTACTAGATCATTAGGTAATGTGTTACTAGTAATATATTCACTCACACCTACTCATCCCTGATATCAAGGGGTTATGCTCACTTTCGCTCTCTACACCCCTGGAATATGTCATAGCAAAATTAAAGGCTCGGTGTGCACCACCTTGTTGATGAGACAAGAAGACTAGTTCGATCCTTTGATGTTCATCAAAAGAATCTTGTCATGTAACGATAAAAATTGGCGGGCTTTGAAGTTCGGCGTCTCTCCTTTGTAATCTTCAAAGTACAGGTATCAGCCTGGCGATTGGTCAGTTTTTTTTTACCTGAGACCAATCAAACAGCTATCTTCATGCCTTCAATTTTGCTATGACCTATTCCAGGGGTTTAGAGAAAGAAAGTGAGCGTAACCCCTGGATGTCGTTACTGTGTACTTTGTTACTGTACTCTATGGAAATGCTTCCTGTTACAGTCCCGGCCATTCACCAGAGCATGTGGAAATGTGAAGACCAAGGCACAGAAGGAAGCTGCATCACAACCACGCCCCGCAACCAGTATCACAGGGGAGGGGGACCTCATTGTGTTCAGGGGGAGATGTAAGTATCACAGGGGAGGGGGACCTCGTTGTGTTCAGGGGGAGATGTAAGTATCACGGGGGGGGGGGACCTCATTGTGTTCAGGGGGGGATGTAAGTATCACAGGGGAGGGGGACCTCATTGGGTTCAGGGGGAGATGTAAGTATCACGGGGGGGGGGGGACCTCATTGTGTTCGGGGGGAGATGTAAGTATCACAGGGGGGGGGGGACCTCATTGTGTTCGGGGGGAGATGTAAGTATCACGGGGGGGGGGGGACCTCATTGTGTTCGGGGGGAGATGTAAGTATCACGGGGGAGGGGGGCCTTATTGTGTTCAGGGGGAGATATAAGTATCACAGGGTAGGGGGACCTCATTGTGTTCAGGGGAAGATGTAAGTATCACAGGGGAGGGGGACCTCATTGGGTTCAGGGGGAGATGTAAGTATCACGGGGGGGGGGGGACCTCATTGTGTTCGGGGGGAGATGTAAGTATCACGGGGGGGGGGGACCTCATTGGGTTCAGGGGGAGATGTAAGTATCACAGGGTAGGGGGACCTCATTGTGTTCAGGGGGGGATGTAAGTATCACAGGGGAGGGGGACCTCGTTGTGTTCAGGGGGAGATGTAAGTATCACGGGGGGGGGGGGACCTCATTGTGTTCAGGGTAAGATGTAAGTATCACAGGGGAGGGGGACCTTATTGTGTTCAGGGGGAGATGTAAGCATCACAGGGGAGGGGGACATCATTGTGTTCAGGGGGAGATGTAAGCATCACAGGGGAGGGGGACATCATTGTGTTCAGGGTGAGATGTAAGTATCACAGGGGAGGGGGACCTCGTTGTGTTCAGGGGGAGATGTAAGTATCACGGGGGAGGGGGACCTCATTGTGTTCAGGGGGGGATGTAAGTATCACAGGGGAGGGGGGACCTCATTGTGTTCAGGGGGGGATGTAAGTATCACAGGGGAGGGGGACCTTATTGTGTTCAGGGGGAGATGTAAGTATCACGGGGGGGGGGGGACCTCATTGTGTTCGGGGGGAGATGTAAGTATCACGGGGGGGGGGGACCTCATTGTGTTCGGGGGGAGATGTAAGTATCACGGGGGGGGGGGGACCTCATTGTGTTCAGGGTAAGATGTAAGTATCACAGGGGAGGGGGGACCTCTTTGTGTTCAGGGGGAGATGTAAGTATCACGGGGGGGGGGGACCTCATTGTGTTCGGGGGGAGATGTAAGTATCACAGGGGAGGGGGACCTCATTGTATTTAGGGGATATATGGAAATATGCATGTGAAGAAAGATAATGGAAAAAACAATGGACAAAGTGCTATATTAGGATGATAAATGTCCTAACCCTGTATATAGCAACTCAAAAGACCCAAATTTAGTACACCACACTCAGCCTCCTGAAGATACAATACATTAGTGTACCGACTTTGATGAATGAAGGACAATCTTTGGTATCTGAAATGGACAAATGGTCATAACTCTCTATATATTGTGACATAAGACTGGTTTCATTATGCAACACTTGACCTTCCAAGAATGGATTATTACTGCAAATTTGGTGAAGGAAAGGGAAATAGCGAGGAATTAATACTCCAGACGTTTACATAAGTAGGGAATCAAATGTGGCATTGTGCTTTTTTGTTTTGTTGTTGCTGTTGTTGTTTTTCCCTTGAATAAAATATGCATTATAGTACTTACATAAACATGTCTAACTTATGTACCTATCATAAACACTGTACATGTAAACTTATGTACCTATCATAAACACTGTACATGTTAACTTATGTACCTATCATAAACACTGTACATGTTAACGTATGTACCTATCATAAACATTGTACATGTTAACTTATGTACATATCATAAACATTGTACATGTTAACTTATGTACCTATCATAAACATTGTAATGTTAACTTATGTACCTGTCATAAACACTGTACNATGTACCTATCATAAACACTGTACATGTCTAACTTATGTACCTATCATAAACACTACATGTTAACTTATGTACCTATCATAAACACTGTACTTGTCTAACTTATGTACCTATCATAAATACTGTACATGTCTAACTTGTGTACCTATTTAATTTTCTGCAGGTTTGGAGCTGAATTTCACAGAAACATGGGGTGACCTTCACTACATGGGTCTCACTAGTATTGAGGTTGTTGGAAAAGATGGAGAAGCACTTCCACTTAAACTGAGCATGCTCACTGCCAATCCTATGGACTTGCATTCACTTCAAGGTCATGAACAGGATGACCGCACACTGGACAAGTAAGGGTTCAACTGATTAAACTGTTATGGTGTAAAATTGTTTTCTAGGGTATTAATACAAAATCAAGGTCTTATTTAAAACAACAGTAATGTGGTATCAGTTAATGTAAACTTAAGGCTTGTGTTGTTATTTAAACAATAAAGGTTAGCAAACGGTGTTATGTTCACCAATGGTTATCAAATTACGCTCAGAGTATAGTTAACCTGTAGGTAGCTATTTCACACTCCCAACATCAGTTCATCAAGTTCTTAGAACAGCAGAGTCAGTAATTTCCCAGCAGTCAGTAATTTCCCAGCAGAGTCAGTAATTTCCCAATCTGATTAGTGACATTACAATAGTGGTCACCTGACAAAATGGTGATGTAGTCTGACAATATGTTTTGCATTTTCTTTACATTACAATGGGTGGATGCAGAGCAAATGTAAATACAGTGTTGTGTACAGTACTAGTGTTTTACTACAATACCAGTGTCCTAAATGTTCTTTGGTGTTATAGGGTTATAGACGGCGCCAATGTAACCATGTCTGATGAACACATGTGGCTTGTGCCGTTTACGGAAGGAAATAATCACACCCTGATCATAGACTTTGGTCAGACCATGTTAGTGGCAGGACTGAGAGTGTGGAACTACAACAAGAGTCCAGAGGATACGTATCGTGGGGTCAGTATACACAGTTACCAAGAAACACAGGTTCTGTAATACAGGGTCAATATAACATATACTCAATATATAGTTTCTGTGATACAGCATAACATCACCTTGATTCTTCAGACCAATTAAACAAACAAGAAAGTACAATAAAATCTTGAAGCAACAGAAGTAGTCTTCATTGAGACTTATTCTTACTTTTATCATGTCAGGCCAAGACTGTACATGTGTCAATAGATGGGAAGAAAATATCTCCAAGGGAGGGCTACCTCATACGCAAGGGACCAGGGGTGTGTCACTTTGACTTCGCCCAGGAGATTAGTTTTGCTCCCCAGGAGAAACCAGCATCCATACCCCACCAGGCTAAGGCTGGCCATGGACCCATGAGGTGAGTACCTCTCTAACACATAGAATAGTGGGTCACTTCTACAATGTTAATATTTTGATGAGTTCTATCAAACTAGAACTGACTTAAAAATAATTAGTTTGTATGGTTAAATTTCAGTGCTACCAAATTACTATATTGCATGTATTGATATTAAGGAGATTGTATTTATACTATTTCCCTGTGTTATGTTTGTAATTTTATTGATGTTAAGGAGTGTTTTTATATCATTACCCTGTCTTATATTTGATAATAAGGAGAGTGTCTTATGTTTGATAATCAGGAGAGTGTCTTATGTTTGATAATAAGGAGAATGTCTTATGTTTGATAATAAGGAGTGTCTTATGTTTGATATTAAGGAGAGTGTCTTATGTTTGATGATAAGGAGAATGTCTTATGTTTGATGATAAGGAGAGTGTCTTATGTTTGATAATAAGGAAAGTGTCTTATGTTTGATAATAAGGAGAGTGTCTTATGTTTGATAATAAGGAGGGTGTATTCATACTATCACTGTGTTTACACTAAGGTTATGCCTGTATTGTAGGTCTTCTGTCAGTGAAGATGACTCGGGACAGGATTACGAATCTGTACAAATGCCATGTGGCTGTATCCTTTCCTCAGCACTCATCTGGATAGCCAGCACATATTTTGTTTCTGGCCTATTTAAGATAGCACAGGATGTTACTATTTAGAAAATCTGTTTGTCACTTAGTTTCTAAACAATTTTACCTCATAATATGACGGGATGACAGCAGGAATACTTGTAAATTCTATTCTTAGATATTAAAGCAGTAAATAGAAGCTTCACAATAAGTTTTGTTAATAATTGGTAAATTTTCCTTAGGACAACACGTTGCTGACTGTGTGATGGCAGAAAATGTTCTTGTACTAATCAAAATAACAATTTAATGATGTCTTTTAACCTATTGAAATGATGTCACCTTTCAGAATGTCAGCTGACAAGACACTGAATATTCTGAGCTCAACATTGAATTGTTTTAATGCACTTCTTAAAATAAATTTAGAACAAGATGTGTAGACATACAAACAGCAGATAGATTGTTGCTCAGGGGATTGTGAAACAGAGTGAGACTAGAATTGTTAATGAAATATAAGTACCTTGACTTATGTGTCAGTCATATACCAGCTGCAGTTAGCGTCGACCTGGGGTGACCCCTACTACGTCGGACTTAACGGCATTGAGTTCTATGATGCTGCACTAAATCAAGTCCAGCTGACGGAGACAAGTAAGTCCTTCACAAAGTAAACATGTACATTCAGTGCTTGGTTGACATGAGCTGGACCATAGGAAGAACAACTTATTGTCAAGTTCTAATACTGAAGAATTTCCCATTGCAGCAGCATTTGTCAAGGCTATCAGACGCGGTGGGAAAAAATGAAATCTTTATCACACAAATAAACTAATCGCTGTTTGCAAAGGAATGTACATGAAATTAATTAAGTATTGTTACACATAATGCAAAAATGTGTTAGACGCAATATTTTTCCTGGCATCAAAGACCTTGTATGTGTATAATTCTGTTTTATAAATTTTCAGACATATCCGCTTACCCAGATAGTGTAAATGTGCTGAATGACAAGACTAACGATGCACGGACTCCAGACAAACTTATTGATGGTATCTATGATACATCTGATGGTAACCACATGTGGCTAGCCCCTGTGCTGCCTTCTATAGTAAGTCTACCACTGTCTGTCACATAACCATATCTGGTTTGATATATTGATTGAAAATCAATTCTTAATAAATATGAAGCTGCATTTTTCACTATCCATACCTTATTTTATATAGCTCTGTAACCCATTGTGGATGAACTGGAATACAAAGTGTTGTGTGAGAAAAAAAAGGAGAGTGAACTTCTCCCATACCATACCATACGTTTTTCTGGGTTTCAGGTGAACAGAGTGTATGTGATATTTGACCAGCCAACAACAGTATCTATGATAAAGATCTGGAACTACAGCAAGACTCCTCAAAGAGGTGCTAAGGACTTGGCTGTAAGTCACAGTTCACATTATGTATCTTTCTGATTTTATATAAAGTTAGCTTTCGTTATGCTGATACATTAGGGGTTAAATGAATTTATATAAGATTTGCGACAACAACTTGGTAATCTTTGACCTCTTTGATCAGTCACAACTATTGAAGTCCTGTTGTTACCTTTAAATGTAAGACATCATAGCACTAGTTCCTAGCCTGACATCACCAGGTCATACAGGGACAACTTGTGTATTCACAGCTTAACACAGTAACCTGATAGGTTTATGTGTTCCTATATTTGCCTGAAGTTATAAATCCCACAGGGACTGTTTCTATTGACAGTTACTGGTGGACGACCTGCTGGTGTACAATGGTATGTTACACATGGTCACAACAGGAGCCAGAGGCATTCTGCCAAATATGGAGGGGCCACAAAGACATCACACCATCATCTTTACACAGAACAAGGATATCCTGCAGCGAGAGAAACATGCCATCATCAGGTAACCACCAGGTCACAAACACACCATCATCACGTAACCAGCAGGTCACAAACACACCATCATCAGGTAACCAGGTCACAAACACACCATCATCAGGTAACCAGGTCTGACACATCATCATCAGGTAACCAGGCCACAAACACACCATCATCAGGAAACCAGGTCAGACACACCATCATCAGGTAACCAGGCCACAAACACACCATCATCAGGTAACCAGGAGACAAACACATCATCATCAGGTAACCACCAGGTCACAGCCACACCATCATCAGGTAACCACCAGGTCACAGACACACCATCATCAGGTAACCAGGTCACAGACACACCATCATCAGGTAACCACCAGGTCACAAACACGCCATCATCACGTAACCAGCAGGTCACAAACCCACCATCATCAGGTAACCAGCAGGTCACAAACACCCCATCATCAGGTAACCAGCAGGTCACAAACACACCATCATCAGGTAACTAGGTCACAAACACACCATCATCAGGTAACCAGGTCAGACACACCATCATCAGGTAACCAGGCCACAAACACACCATCATCAGGTAACCAGGTCACAAACACACCATCATCAGATAACCACCAGGTCACAGACACACCATCATCAGGTAACCACCAGGTCACAGACACACCATCATCACGTAACCAGCAGGTCACAAACACGCCATCATCAGGTAACCGGGTCACAAACACACCATCATCAGGTAACCAGGTCATAAACACACCATCATCAGGTAACCAGGTGACAAACACACCAACATTAGGTAACCAGGTCACAAACACACACCATCATCAGGTAACCATGTCACAGACACACCATCATCAGGTAACCAGGTCACAAACAAACCATCGTCAGGTAACAAGCAGGTAAAAAACACACCATCATCAGGTAACCAGGTCACAAACAAACCATCATCAGGTAACCAGGTCACAAACTTACCATCATCAGGTAACCAGGTCGTAAACACATGTCATGACGACCACCAGGTCACAGACACACCATCATCAGGTAACCAGGTCACAAACAAACCATCGTCAGGTAACAAGCAGGTAAAAAACACACCATCATCAGGTAACCAGGTCACGAACACACCATCATCAAGTAACCAGGTCACAAACACACCATCATCAGGTAACCAGGACACAAACACACCATCATCAAGTAACCAGGTCACAAACACACCATCATCAGGTAAACAGCAGGTCACAAACACACCATCATCAGGTAACTAGGTTACAAACACACCATCATCAGGTAACCAGGCCAGACACATCATCATCAGGTAACCAGGCCACAAACACACCATCATCAGGTAACCAGGTCACAAACAAACCATCGTCAGGTAACCAGCAGGTAAAAAACACACCATCATCAGGTAACCAGGTCACGAACACACCATCATCAAGTAACCAGGTCACAAACACACCATCATCAGGTAACTAGGTCACAAACACCCCATCATCAGGTAACCAGGCCACAAACACACCATCATCAAGTAACCAGGTCACAAACACACCATCATCAGATAACCACCAGGTCACAGAAACACCATCATCAGGTAACCACCAGGTCACAAACACACCATCATCACGTAACCACCAGGTCACAAACACACCCTCATCAGGTAACCAGGTCACAAACACACCATCAGGTAACCAGCAGGTCACAAACACACCATCATTAGGTAAGCAGGTCACAAAAACACCAGCATCAGGTAACCAGGTCACAGACACACCATCATCAGGTAACCACCAGGTCACAGACACACCATCATCACGTAACCAGCAGGTCACAAACACGCCATCATCAGGAAACCGGGTCACAAACACACCATCATCAGGTAACCAGGTCATAAACACACCATCATCAGGTAACCAGGTGACAAACACACCAACATTAGGTAACCAGGTCACAAACACACACCATCATCAGGTAACCATGTCACAGACACACCATCATCAGGTAACCAGGTCACAAACAAACCATCGTCAGGTAACAAGCAGGTAAAAAACACACCATCATCAGGTAACCAGGTCACAAACACACCATCATCAAGTAACCAGGTCACAAACACACCATCATCAGGTAACTAGCTGGTCACAAACACACCATCATCAGGTAACAAGGTCACAAACACACCATCATCAGGTAACCAGCAGATCACAAACAAACCATCATCAGGTAACCAGGTCACAAACTTACCATCATCAGGTAACCAGGTCGTAAACACATGTCATGACGAATGTACAATGACTGATTTCTGCCATTTTCTATTTTGTTATTTCGTCTTTTGGCCCAAAAAAAAATCAATCATCAAAAAGATGAGGTTCCTACTGCAACAAAAACAAATGAAAGGTCGCTTCTTAGGGTGGAATTTTTTTCTTGCAAAGATTTCTGTGTTAAAAATAAATTCTATTACATTTCACCAAAAACATGAAAATAGACTTCAAAATTTATACAATGAAATAATATAGACGAGCTGTCATCATAACATGCCTACTAGTACGTTTACAGTATGATATGGAAACTCATTATAGTAAAAAAAGCGATATAATATGGATCAATTAATTGATTATTTGCTTAGTCTTATTGTTTATTAACTGGATACTTTTGTGTTGTAGTAATCAGGCTGTGGACCAGGACATACAGCTGACCAATGACAAGATGGTGGTCAGTCATTACAGTGACCCAAAGAAAGCTCAGGCAGGCAAACCTGTCAACCAAGGTAAGCATGTTGTTGATGGTTCAGAGGATTAATTAACTCCAGCATTGTTTTATTGTTATATTCCATGTAGTAAAATATTATAAGAATAAGAACAGTGTTTATTGAGTTTTTAACCATGATTTAAAGATTATTTGTGAATAATTAAAGCCCTCACTTAGTGGTGAGTGTATATAGTAATTACTTTGTATGTCCATTTGTGTGAGAGAGTCCTTCCGTAGTGAAAAGCTACGATATCTCATGAAGCCCTGAATACATTTAGTTCACATTTAAACCAAAGTATGATAATACTGAGGTCTACACCTGATTAGACTTTTGTAGTCATTGGTCAAGGAAGGTGAAAGGGTCAAAGATGAAAGTGTCTGCCCATAGTGAGAGAAAAAAACTTGTGTACAAGACAGTTCACAAACTACTAAACAAATTCATTTAATATTTATGCCCGAGTATGGTATCCTTGAGTTCTACACCTGATAAAATGTTTGTAGTCATCGGTCAAGTTTAAAGGGTCAAAAGGTCATGGGCACAACATCTGTCTGCAGTGAAAAACTTGTGTTCGAATATCTCCTAAACCCCTGAGCACATTTACTTTATATTTACACCATAGTATGATAATATTGAGTTCTACACCTGATAAGACTTTTGTAGTCATTGGTCAAGGTTAAAGGGTCAAAGGTCGCAGGCAAATATTAAACTTGACTACTTTTGAAGTACCTGGTACAAAGCTTGTGTACACAAGCAAGTTGACTAATTACAGACTATGTCTTGTACACCATTTCCTTATGAGGAGAGGAGAAGGGAAATGTGGGTATATCTGTGAGCCTTTGCTCTTATTGTTTTAATCAGAACTTATTAAAATAAGTTATTGGTTGTTGTCAATAAATTGCATCCAAACACCAAGTTCTATCTTTGATATCTATTACTGTTTCAGATTTGAGACCAAAAACCAGTGTGGCTGGCCAGGGGAAGAAGAGACGTTGATTATAGGCCAGTAATGGACACGTGAAATCTGATCTCATTTCAAGTCCCTGTAACAGACAGTGCCAGGAGACCAATGGAAGTAATATGCCACTTGTAAGGCAAAGAATGTCAAAAGTTAGAAATGACTGTCAAGCCATAGGACTGGTCACAAGTCTTTGAAAAATCTGTTTAAAAGACATAAAAAAGATTTGCAAACCATAAAACTGTGTTGCAAGTCTTCTGACAGGCTCTACATAAGGCAATTCTACAGCCACAGAACCAACCTGAGGTCGCCAACTAGAATGTCGACTGACAGCTGGCTGCGTACTATGCTTTGGATGATCGTAGTGACAGACTAACAAATTGTTTCAAGCAGGAAACAAAAATGAGGATGATCCATGCTGATACTGCACACATATCTAGTGTTCATGTCAAATCCCAGTCATCCAGTATGTGTCTGATGGATGAACTCTGTTTATCATTACTTGTGTTTATAAGTGTCCTCCATTACTTCCTTTAGAACAATACACTTGTGATTCTGTACTTACAGAAAGACCAATGAACTTGCCTGGAGGCAGAAACAACGACAAGTGATTTAATTTTAAGCATTAATTATCATCTCACTTCAAATTATGTTATTAATATGCTTGTGGAGATTTTTGGGCGGAATTTTGTTGCCCCTCTATAGAAAGTTTCCTCAGTTAGACAGCCTTGATCTTACCATAGAGTTCTGTCATTTAAATTAGTTAAGTTTTTACATACATGTTTTATTTTAATAAATGTATACACAATTCAATCTCCCTACAGGCATTAGATTTTGACTTTTAAAAAGTCAAACATGTCAATTTCCGTCCATGTTTTATACAATCTGTTGTTACTTGCACTGATGTATCATTTAATCTTGTGTCTGTGATATATATATTTTGAGAGATAATCTCATAATTGAAAATGTACACTAATTTATTGCTCACTGAATGATGAAATATGTGTATGTGTGTGCCTCATAGCAAGGTGTAATTACCAGCTAGCGCTGAGGCTAGGGACGAGTGGGTTATATAGCAGTAGGGTGTTGTGGGTAGGACACGGGAGAAGTCATTGTCTTGGCATTGTATACGTAGCCAGTAATACAGCAATGGATATTCTGTAGTGGATTAGCAACAAAATTACTAAATAAAGCTGTACATTCCATAAAAACCAGAAGTCTTAGAAAGTCTGGTCAAACCAGTTCAGGCATATGTCATATATATCTATATACAAAATTATATAATTGCAATCATGTCAATATTACTGATATAATTTTTAGGTTAAGGTACAAAGGCAGTTCATGATTTTTAGAAAGGTCAACCTTTTGCATCAAAGGGGTATGGCATGTGCTAACTCCTACCCTCGGTCCATATATGTGTATTACACATAATAATATAGACTGTGGAGTGCTGTGCCCTTTTGTTTGGCAATATCAGGGAGAAGGGGGTTATAGGGAGCACCTTTACCTGGACAAACTTGCTTAATCGGCACTATAGTATAATATGGTAGGTAGGTATTAGTTGCTGTTTAAGAATTTTTGATAATATCATTAAGCTACATTCCAGTTATCTTTGAAATCCAAAGGCCCTGCTCTTGATACACATGTCTACACCCTTTGAATATGACAAAATCTAAAGCTCTGAATGAACTACTGTGCCAATGATTATTGTTGACTGGTCTGGAAACTTTTGAGGAATCCTATATAACTATAGCTCTATGATACAAATAGAAAAAATACATGTCTGCATAAACAGTAAAATTGACCAGCCCTGACTTGGTTAAAGTCTCCTGTAAAATTTATAGTACAGGTAACGAGAACAGAACGAACCATTGACTATTGTAGATGCATTCCACTGTTAGTCTTGTTATTTATCTGTGCTGTGATCTATGGATGTACAATGATATCTGTGCTGTGATCTATGGATGTACAATGATATCTGTGCTGTGATCTATGGATGTACAATGATATCTGTCCTGTGGTCTATGGATGTACAATGATATCTGTCCTGTGATCTATGAATGTACAATGATATCTGTCCTGTGATCTATGGATGTACAGTGATATCTGTCCTGTGGTCTATGGATGTAAACTGATATCTGTCCTGTGATCTATGGATGTACAATGATATCTGTCCTGTAGTCTATGGATGTACAATGATATCTGTCCTGTGATCTATGAATGTACAATGATATCTGTGCTGTGATCTATTGATGTAAACNTATAATATGGTAGGTAGGTATTAGTTGCTGTTTAAGAATTTTTGATAATATCATTAAGCTACATTCCAGTTATCTTTGAAATCCAAAGGCCCTGCTCTTGATACACATGTCTACACCCTTTGAATATGACAAAATCTAAAGCTCTGAATGAACTACTGTGCCAATGATTATTGTTGACTGGTCTGGAAACTTTTGAGGAATCCTATATAACTATAGCTCTATGATACAAATAGAAAAAATACATGTCTGCATAAACAGTAAAATTGACCAGCTCTGACTTGGTTATAGTCTTCTGTGAAATTTATAGTACAGGTAACGAGAACAGAACGAACCATTGACTATTGTAGATGCATTCCACTGTTAGTTTTGTTATTTATCTGTGCTGTGATCTATGGATGTACAATGATATCTGTCCTGTGAACTATGGATGAACAATGATATCTGTCCTATGATCTATGGATGTATAATGATATCTGTCCTGTGATCTATGGATGTAAACTGATATCTGTCCTGTGATCTATGGATGTACAATGATAACTGTCCTGTGATCTATGGATGTACAATGATATATGTCCTGTGATCTATGGATGTAAACGGATATCTGTGCTGTGATCTATGGATGTACAGTGATATCTGTCATGTGGTCTATGGATGTAAACTGATATATGTGCTGTGATCTATGGATGTACAATGATATCTGTCCTGTGAACTATGAATGTACAATGATATCTGTCCTGTGAACTATGAATGTACAATGATATCTGTCCTGTGAACTTTGGATGTACAATGATATCTGTCCTGTGAACTATGGATGTACAATGATATCTGTGCTGCGATCTATAGATGTATAATTATATCTGTGCTGTGATCTATGGATGTACAGTGATATCTGTCCTGTGGTCTATGGATGTAAACTGATATCTGTCCTGTGATCTATGTATGTACAAGGATATCTGTCCTGTGATCTATGTATGTACAAGGATATCTGTCCTGTGATCTATGGATGTGCAATGATAACTGTCCTGTGATCTATGGATGTACAATGTTATCTGTCCTGTGATCTATGGATGTACAACGATATATGTCCTGTGATCTATGGATGTAAACTGATATCTGTGCTGTGGTCTATTGATGTACAATGATATCTGTGCTGTGAACTATGGATGTACAATGATATCTGTTCTGTGATCTATGGATGTACAATGATATGTGTCCTGTGATCTATGGATGTACAAGGATATCTGTCCTGTGATCTATGTATGTACAAGGATATCTGTCCTGTGATCTATGGATGTAAACTGATATCTGTCCTTTGATCTATGGATGTACAATGATATCTGTGCTGTTATTTATGGATGTACAATGATATCTGTCCTGTGAACTTTGGATGTACAATGATATCTGTCCTGTGCTCTATGGATGTACAATGATATCTGTCCTATGATCTATGGATGTATAATGATATCTGTCCTGTGATCTATGAATGTACAATGATATCTGTCCTGTGAACTTTGGATGTACAATGATATCTGTCCTGTGCTCTATGGATGTACAATGATATCTGTCCTGTGATCTATGAATGTACAATGATATCTGTCCTGTGATCTATGGATCCACAATATTATTTGTCCTGTGATCTATGGATGTACAAGGATATCTTTCTAAACAGGAATGGTTTCGGTGGCACACTCGAGGAGTTTTGCCTTGCCAGTATGAACTGTATATAATATTCCTCTCATGACCCTGGCAAAGTGCAGCAATTTTTGGATCAATTTACAAAGATGGCAGTCTGTCCTCTGATTGGCCAATACAGTTCAATTTCTTGTCAAGTATCACATACAAATGTAGCAAATTCTAACCAAAAGTGATCTGATAAATCCTTTCCTGACCTGTACAGGTATACGTAGGTAGTCATTTATTTAGTTTACTCAGAATCCAAGATGGTCACCTGATCCTATTTTAATCAAACTTCTTACAAATCTTCCAGTCATTATTCTGATGAAGTGTTGCTGTTGTAATTGTTTGGGTCAGTTAGAAATCTGTGCTGGCCAACAAAGTCTTGGATAAGACATGTGTTTTTACTTCTGTCAACATAAAGTTCATAGAAAAAGAGATACAAGTGAGCAGTATAGTTGGCTTGGGTCCCTTGTTGGACACTCCAGTGTTGGTTTGGTCAATCGTCACAAGAACTGGAGCATTGAATCCAACATCTTTGTACATTTGACCTAATGTTATAAGCATAAACTAATGATCAATAAATATCAGAAATATATTTTTTGAGTCTTATCGTCCTTCCAACTGCATGTTGCTAAACAATACAACAAACCGCTTCACAAGTTAATGTGAATCAACATTTCTGTACCATGTTATAAGGTCCTATTTATGGCATTTAAAAAATGAGCTGTACTGATCTGAACAAACTGGAATCTACAACCTTTGACCATACTAAAAAATCAAGATTTTCAACAATGACTTCTGAATAAAGCTTCTTCAAACATTCTCTCCTGTTTATTGATGTTAGTTTTAAACAAGAGGCCAAGCCGGCCTGTATCGCTTGTCTGGATATTTGATAATTTTGCAAATATTTCCATATATTGACTCTCCTTGGCTTAAGAATAGAAATTTCCAGACTAAATGAAACTTTATACTAATCTATCCCAGCATGCTACTGGTCAAATATCATCACCCAGAGGAAGGCCATGGGAATGCAGAAGAAATTGTTAAAAAGTTTTGACAAAATTGACCCCTTTGACCTTGGAAGTAGGTCAAGGTCATTCATTTAGGGAAGCTTTATAGCACTTCATGCCAGGTACTTACTAGCTAAATATCCTTGCTCTATGGGTCTTGGTTATTCAGAAGATGTTTTCAGGTTTTTAACACATCTGACCCTTGTGATTTTGAAAGTCAAGGTCATTTATTTGAGAAAAGTGTTGAGCACTTCATGCCAGATTCCTACTGGCCAAGTTTCAACACTCTGGGCATCCTGTTTATGCAGAAGAAGTTTTTAGGACACCTGGGCTTTAGCCCAAGTGCCCTATTGCTATCCGTCTTCGTCCGTCTTCGTCCGTCGTCGTCCGTCGTCCGTTAACATTTTACATTTTGAACTTAAGCTAAAAATACCGGCAAAGGGATTTCATTAATATTTCATGGGAAGGTTACTGACATCTCCCTGACCAGGTGTTGTTATTTTTCGGGTCGCTCAGAAATTCAATATGGCCGCCACGTAAGTATTTCAAACTTTAAAACAAGTTCTAATAGGCCGATTTAACTGAAACTCGGTCTAGGAATGATCAGCTAATGGTCCTGACAAACTTCAGTTAACGTTATACTTAACTATTTTGTACTCAAATTGGTACATATTTCAACAACAAAATTAAATACTGTAGGACTCAGGTGACCGTTTAGGCCCATGGGCCTCTTGTTTTTTTTACATATTTGACCCCAGTGACCTTGAAAGTAGGTCAAGGTCATTTATTGGAAGACAGTTTATAGCACTCTGTCAAAGGTTGCCAGTTCTGAAGAAGTCGCTCAAAGAAAAGGACGGATGTCGGACAACAGATGGACAACTGATGAAAATAGAATGTTGATTTACAGATGGACAACAGACTGGTATAGTTATTTTTTTATTATTTAGATCAGAAAGATTTTGTTTCCAGAAAAAGAGCACTGCCTTGTATTACGATGAAATCTTTCTCCAAACATTTTTTAAATGAAGAAAATTGCATATTTTTAAAAAAAAAAAAAAAAGATGTATACATGTTGTTATAATGCAAAGCTGCTTTTATTATCTAATGTAACACAAGCTTTTCATCAATTAACCTCAACAAGATCCACAAATTAAAGTTCCAATTTACACATACATTGTACTGTCACTAAGACACTATTTATCCATGATTCGGCATGCAAAAAATCCTCTCTCCTGAGCTGCATCCATTTGATCAGTCTGAAATAGAAAAGAAAATCATTTCTAAACAAGGCATCTCAGAAAATACTAATACCCTTGCAAATAGAAGTGATAAAAAATTGCTAAGTGTACAGAGCAAATTTATGAGTGGATGACATCAAATTTTCCTTCTTTTTGACCCAGAAGGTTGAAATGTAAACTTTACAAGAGGTGAGGTTTGTAGAAGGATTACATCAAAATTTCTGCTGCAGGTCTATATGATCAATACCAGAAGTAATTTTGTTCTTAGGGCTATGAACACATAATTGGGTGCCAACATCTTGGCTTAATATTGTCGGCTGTTCTAGGAATATTGTTTGCACTGTTGATACAGGAAATTTTACAAAACTTTTATTTCTATCAGGAAATATTACAAAACTTTTATTTTTATAACTAATAACTATAAATTTATAACGTTAACTTGCATATTATAATAGTTTTCAAGAACTGTCCCGGGCTCTGGGTGTCCTTGTAACGGGGGACCCAAACCTTACATTATGACTGAAACAGCTAGGAGTTGTACAATGTGTACTATTGGACTGCAATGGGGTATAACGTGTAACAGACGCCGGAGGTATTTCGTCCTCATAGTTGGAAGTATTTGAAAAATGTCTCCCTCTAGAATCACCTGGTATATACGAAGCTCCAAGGAGATTCTCTTCACTGTAACTTAGCAACCCTAGCTCACAAGAGCCTGCTTTAGACAAATAAAAGTCTTCCATATCAGTATCTATGTCAGAATTTATTTTTATGATTCTATGTTATTGAACCTTGTGATCTTTCCTCACTAATACGACTAATCCTGGTCACGGCCCCAATTATTTAGTAGGCAGACGAGAGTTTGCCACCAAAATGACTTTGCGTTGTGTAATTTTGAATATTGTACAAACTGTACACGTCTTGGAACATAAAACCAGCGGCCAACAGTTCTGCGAGTTTATTATAGTTTTAAATCGAAGTGTGGTTTCATTTAACAGAAGTAAACATAACAAAACAACAAAAATCAGGTAACTGATGTGTAAAGCCTGTAGAAACATGGAATGTAACAAAATATAACTTGCAAAAAATATACTCAAGGGAAAACATAAACTTAATTAATAAGTAACAAAAATAAGACAAATTGCAGAAGTACATGCATGGAACACTGACTTGAGAAGTTTCCATGGTAACTCTCCGTACACACATTACTTACTTGTTAATAGGCCCAATTTGGCCAGTAATTACAATAGCCTAGAATATATATCCGGCACTGTACATAACTCTCTGCCTACGAGACAGGCTCAACTTCCACCCTCCCTCCTACAGAAACACAACGTAATAAAAACTACAACCCCATGTTAGTTCTGGTGTAGAAAGACCTAATTGGTTTTAAGCAGCATGGTAACTAAGTACAAGATATACCCTGGAGATAATTCTGCATGTCACTCTGTTTTCAGGGAGGAGCCTTATTCTGTTTTCAGAACGGCATCCTATGTCTATGTTAGCTTGCTCTGCTTTCAAAGTGTCAGTAATGGCTGCGGAACTCCCAATGAAACTCACCAAATCTCTGGCAGGGAAAGGCATGGTCTCATGCACGTGTGCGACTTATATAGCCCTGACATCTTTACCCCTAGTGAACCTACCAAAGTTGAAACCTGTAAGTTAATAAGAGACTCCATGACTGGCTCCACCATTGCGGTCTCGACCAATGACAGCCATTACACAACTGTTCCCAGGCTCACCTGGCAAGATGGCCGTCATAACAAATAAACCAAATTACCAAAGCAGACATTCGTCAAACCAGACAGAATGTCCCTCCGAAAACCCGAGGCTGCACCCCCAGAGTACTACTAATATCGCGAGTAAGGGTATGTACACCTAGTAAAAGCCGAAACCACTACAGGGTCCCTCAATACTACAAATTTCAGTACAAATTCGAACGTAACAGTTCAAGTCGCAGACGACGAAAATTGACCTACACCATATTACAATAGTTAACAACAACAATGCTTTATCCTTCCTATAATAGAGGGAGGATAAAGCATTGTTGTTGGTAACTATTATAATATGAATTAAAAGTTGATAGTTTCAGAGAAAACACCAAGGGAATTAAACATGTACATAAGGGCAGGTAAGTGGAGGGTATTAACACCCTGGATTTCATCAATTAGATTTTGTTAAAGTAAGGGGTATAAAAATCAGTTCTTTCCAGGAATAAATAAACATCTTTTGTCTATACTTTAATTTACATCCTTAAGTATGACCATTTCCACTGTACTTACCCAGTGAGTAGGACAAATGGATGTGTAGCCACGCTTGAAGTACATGCATCCATCATAATCTTCTCCCATTTTCTTTACACAGCGGTGGTAATCCACATAATACTGCCAGCACATCCTTTATCAAATCAATTAAATAATTATAGAGAAATTATAGCCACCATATATCAATGATCAGTAAAATACATATTACTGCCATGGCCAGCACATCCTGAAACCAATTAAATTATTATAGAGATGTGGTAATCTACATAATACTGCTCGCACATCATACAATCAGGTAAATAATTATAGAGATGTGGTAATCTACATAATACTGCTCGCACATCCTACAATCAGGTAAATAATTATAGAGATGTGGTAATCTACATAAAACTGCCTGCACATCCTACAATCAGTTAAACAAGCTAATTCGTGGAATTTATATACCCCGTTGCAGGACATATTGTAGGTTAACATTATTGAGGCTAGGTTTAAACATGTGAGTATCGTGCTGTTGAAACATAATGTATAGCCTGAAACTTGGAAGAAGAAAAAAGCCCTATACCTCATTGATTATCTGTAAATATGCACAAATCACATCGGTTGGCAAACTTAGCATAAAGAATTTGGTTGAAAAATCTTAATAATATCTACAGAAATTATCGCACGAAAACCAAAGAGAGCCTGAGATGGGTGGAAAGACAGAGGAACACAAACATTGTTTTCAAGTTTGAAGGAATTTGGCTAAGATATGAAGCGGAAACTGCAGATAATGATGTTTTTCGTTAATCAAGGGGCCATACCTCTGCCAAAAAAAGTCAGATTAAAGTGTGGTTGTCAAACTTGGCTGAGCCCTTAATGCGTTGAACCCTGTTACTAAGTTTGAAGACAATCGGATAATATTTCCAAGAGTTAATGAACAGAAACGGCAGGTAATGATGTTTTTCATTATTCAAGGGGCCATAACTCCGCCAAATGGGGTCTGTGATTTGCCTTTAAGGTCTTTTTTTTAAATTCTTTCAGAATCAAAGAGAGCACTTATGTAGTGTATCTTATCACCTGGATTAATAAATTTAATTGTTTGTCAAGAAATACTGAAGTGAATACTTACTTGTTCATATTCTGGTTGGGAAACCTAGCATCATAACGAGGCTTGTACGCCAGTTGACGAAGTTTTACTACAAATTATAACAACATGTATATTTATATGTACATGAATCATTTAATATTGTTCAAGAACTAAACATAAATAGATCACTATGAAAAGTCACTAAACACTAATTCTTTAGAAAGTGTTTTTTATAACTTTTAATCAATATGTATATTGTATATTTGTTAACCAGAGCAAGATAAATATGATAACCAAAAGTATTTAGACAAGGAATTTGTATATCAGAAAACTTTTTTCCTAACATAGTAGGTATCCTTTACCTTTAGCATTTTCAGACAGCGTCTAGCTAGTAATACAAATAAGTTTAACAAAGATATTTTCTCCACCAAAACAATTTATTTCAAAACCATTTTTATTCATATCAGTTAAAAACTGAAGAGCCAAGTGAGCTTATGCCATAGTGTGGCGTTCGTTCGTCTGGCGTAAACTTATTTGGCCAGTAGCATGCTTGAAAAAAGGGTTCCAAATTTATTTAAATAAATGACCTTCACCCATATTCAAGGTCATTGTTGAAAGCAGATTTAAGTACTTTTATTCCAAATAGTGATCTATCAAGGAAAAGCATCCAAAGTAAAGAATGAAAAGCATTTTGATGAAACATACAGAGTGAACAGAATAAAACAGATTTATGTACTGCTGTACATGTACCAATCTTGATCACTGTGACCACATTTGATGGTTTTCAGTTGATTTGTACTCACCATCAGGCTGGGAAATTTTTTCTACATCTGTCATATTGAAGTGTGATTTAATCTGAAACTGAAAGAGAAACACATTACTTACTACTGATATTAAATTGCATGTTCAATCCTACATGGAGGCAAAGCATGCCAATGGAAAAAATAAAGACCTCTGCTACATTGGTGCCTTCTGGTCCAATTCTGATGCTCTACAAACTGAGCTAAAGAAAATATTCCCTCGCCAAATTGAAAGGAAACGGCTAGTAATTTACAACAGTGACACCTTCTCTAGAAATGAACTTGTCGGACTCTTCTCCAGCATTAACAGCAATGCTTGCCATTGTGAGAGCAAGGCTAAGTATTTGTGTCAAGACTGAACAAACCTCGGTGAAATTCTCCTTAGCCGATTCTTGTGGAAAGCAGCTAATCTATCTATATACGCCACAGAGACCAGAATGGCTTTAATGCGGGGATGGGGTCGGGGTAATACTTTACCCGAGTCATGTATAAAAAAAAACTTTAAATACAAAATTAATATATACATATGTATATACACAATGACATAATGCCACCTCCAAGGACAACTGAAGATTGCAACAATTGCATTCATACCTTTTAGTTTCATTGCAGATTACCGGAGAACAAAATCTATTGGGGGGAAAAAAAACATCTCTATATATACAGAATACTAGAACAGAACTGTATAAGGGGGTTATTTTTTGCTTTTCATTTTTCATCTCTGAAAAGACAACAATGAGATGAATGCTATGGTATATGCATTCTTTCTCCTTTTTTATGTTTAACTGATCAGACATCTCCATAAAGTTTCCTATTTCATTTGATTAACCTTAATCATAGCGGCCAGGTAATTAGCTAAAAAGCTTGTATTGACCCTATTAAAAATCTGTCTTCAACTTACTGTATATTTAGAATGTTTCACTGTGCATGCAGCTATTAGGCCTATTGATGGTAGTGTTATATCACAGGGGTTCGTTTCAAATGTCTGAACGACACACATCATGCTTAACTGATATGGGTTACATCACATATAAACATTTGCATGTTTGTGTGAGCTGTTACCCATATCAGTATAGCATAGATGTGTAATAGGAAGAGGAATAGTGATAAAGATTTTGCCATCCCTGGGGCTCGAACCTGCGACCCTTGGCTCTCCAGTCTGATGCTCTACTGCTGAGCTAAAGGGAATTCCCTACAGCTGACACTTGTAAGGCAACCTAATCAATGCACATATCTTTTACACTATTCTCCCCTTTTTTCTAACACCAACCCAGGTTCTTTGACTCCCCGCCAAGGGTTCTCCTACCTTGAACGGGGAGGGTAAACGGCACCAATTTGTAATAGGACAAGATAGTGCCGTCGCTGGGGCGCGAACCCGCGACCCTTGGTTCTCCAGCCCGATGCTCTGACGCTGAGCTAAAGGGAAATTCCCTACAGCTGACTCTTGTAAGGCAACCTAATTAATCCACATCTTTCACAGATGTGTATTTCAGACATCTGTAATGAACCCTGTGGTTATTTCAAAAGTCTATCCGACTCAAAAACTGGGAACATTTCACTCATACGTTTGAAAATCTTAGAGTTCCACCTGTTTACTAATTAAAGTATTATTTTCCACAAGTGACCAGTCAGATAAACATTTACTTTATTAGACTCCTCAGGCTGTTGGAGTATCCTGTCACATGATGTAGGTCCAGTACACTCCGCCAATTGAGCTTAGCTATATAGCTGTAAAGACCTATAATAGCTCTATTGACCTATCTGAAATAGGTCTTTTGAGCTATTTTCAAGTGATTTTCTTTTTTAAGGAAAACGAAACAAAGTCGCTTTTAAAAGAAGATTGCAGCATGAGGTTGATAACAAAATAAATTAAATATAAGTATTCTTTTTAAAAAATAATGATGTAAAAAAATCGGAAATTTTACATTTATGAAAAATGACATGCCATTATTGGTAACTACGACATATACAATGTAAATGTAAACATGTAATTTAATATAACTATGCTTTTTGTAGCCAACATTACCATAAACCTTATTGTTTTATGCGACTTTGCTTTAATTTATAGGTCTTTAAAAGCTCAATCGGCAGAGTGTACTCGACCTGTGATGTATATCATATTTAACCCGCACGTTTGAAAGCCCAATGTCACGACGACCAGTAATTAATAGGCTTGATATTAACGTTATCATGATTTTAAAAAATGGAACTTGACGAAAAATGAAATATCAGATTTTCAATAAAATACAAAGGAAGGGCCAAACTGTGTCTGCAATCGACCAAGGGCAAGAGAGGGTCATAAGAGAGGGCTTCAACATTTCCTTTCAGAGCCGAGCATTGCCTAAACGTATGCAGTTGTCGATATTAATTATATTGTATCAAGCAATGCAACGGTATCTAGTAGATTAAATGAAACGAGACGGACAAGAAAGAAAGGAAACATCACCATCAATACGTACCAACAGGACAGCTAAAAAAATGGCAACCGGAACCGGATCATCAGAATGTTTACATGTTACTTGCCCCAAGCTTAGACTGTTGTGTACAAATGAACATTGCTGTACAGCGATGCGTTTAATTTTAAAACTAGTACGAGATCAAAATAACTCCTGCAAACTGTCATACCATTCAGTACATAAAACTGTTAAGATACAATGAAAAAAAGATACAGTGAATATACTTGATTAAAAAAACATCATAAAAAATGACAAGAAATATTCCTGCAAAGCAGTGATCGGCTGGCTCGCGCCTGCCACCTTGTACTGTCATGACGCGTCCTCGGGGAATCGCAGCCAAATGCAAGGCTATGGCTATGTTTCACGATAAAGACTCAACAAAATGCCTATTTCGCGTTATTTCTATGAATTTAAAACAAAAAATATGCTGTATTTAAAACAAAATCGTATAATCATTACCAACAAGTTTTGAAAGGATTTAATTTTCATTACTACTGCCCGAGTCATGATAAGTGTTACATGCTTTCTTACAAAACCACCTTGATTTTGTTTTTCCTTCACCTATGAACGGCAAAATGATATGCATAATTTTTGAATAGCATGTTTTACACGTGTATTCGATCCTTACTTTGTGGTGCAGTCGTCCTGCATTTCAAACAAATGAGACTGTCCTCAACGATGAATTTTCCCGAATTTCGGTAATATATTTGCGATTGTACATTTTTTGCTTTGCCTTATTCTGACGTAACAATCCCACATTTTTTTTGTATTTCAGCATCACGCGTTTGTGTTTAGATAACAGATAAAATCACTAGTGCCAATTGGAGCGTAAAACAATTCATAAATATCATTTAAAATTATGTCGTATCTACAAAGCGTAGATATACTGTACACGACGTGTACAGTAATTTGTTGACATAATTCCATAGAAGATAAGTCAATAGGTATTGGTATCAAAATACAAATCAAATGTTCCATTGATTTGAAAAAAATACGGTATTACTTAATTAAGGAAAATGATCACAAAGGTGGGGGGGGGGAGCTGAACGTGGATTCGAACTAGCACCGTTCACTTCTTCTGGTCACAAGTTAAGTGCGTTACACATTCGGCCACATCGGACATAAGATGGGAATGCAGACTGTTTTAACCCAAGAAACACATGTCGCAGTTTAAGAAATTCGCTCACCCTGTTTTACATTATTTTGAGTAGTTTCCCAAAGGAGGACAGCTCTTCCGGAATACGATTTCCTTTTCCATATCACATCACGGAATCAAAAAGTTTATTCGAAAGTTGGTCCTTGGATGGGAAAGTGTTGAAAGCATTTTTTTTTTAAATCTGGGAAACCCCATCACTTTCATAGATATAATGAGTATGGCTATATTTGCAGTATCATATTAACAATACCTTATATCTCAGCAGTTCAAAAATTCATATTCAATTGGTTTTATATCTATTCCACGCATTTTCGCTGCTAGAAATTATTTACTCATTAATATTTTTTCCCGTTTAAATGCCGACTTAGAGGGAAATGGACACTTTTCCGCATAGCTCTTTACATGGCGACGCTTGAAAAGTACAAGGAGAAGAAACCCAAGTGTCCCGTAAGTGTAAGCGTCTCCTACTGCATCGACCCAATGCCCGCCAACGTCTGCATCCTTCCATGTCCTGAAACCATGTGTTTTAATTATGTTCGTCCGCAGCCGGTACCTTTCACGGAAATCCGGAAATGCGAATTAAACTCTTGAGTACCGAATCAACGACAACATGTAAAGTTACTGTCAAGAAATGGAAACTTCACGATACAAATCGTCTTGCTAGCTTATCGTACAGTTTAGTAATAAGCTGTCCCTGTTGGCCATGCTATAATAGCTTCGGCATCCGTACAGTTCCTACAGTTAGTCATATTGCGAAAGTGGCTGGTGTAGAATAGTATGTATAGGATGATTAAGTCGAGTTTAAGTTAAGTGGGTATATAAGATGGACGTGATGCTGTCATGCTGGCATACATGTTAAATTTATATCGCTATTGCTTTTCTTGGAAAGGAAATGACAAAAATTGGGAAATATTAGTGTAATAAGGAAAGGAAAGAAGTGTGCTTCCTCCGATGATCGTGAGGTGTGTGTGTGTGTGGGGGGGGGGGGGGGGGGGGGAGGGGGAGGGGGAGTGGTTAAGATCTGACGTTCTGCTACCACCACCATTAGTCCTCCACCACTGGATCGCGGGTTCGAGGCCTCGCCAGGTACAGACCGTTGGTCGGTGGGATTTCTCCGTGAACTCCGGCTTTCCTCCACCCCAAAAATCTGGCACGTCCTTTAATGATCATAGCTATTAATAGGACGTAAAACACAACCAAACAAAGCAAAACCGGTGAGCGAACCTGCAACTCCCAGCTTCCCAGTCCTCCACTCTAGATTTTCCCCCTGACGTCAGTGCGAAACAAGGTGACTGTGATCCTATTAACAATTAAAATCTGCCACACTATTTACCCTTTTTAAATATGTTCGCCCTTGAGCACCGCAATAATCCAAGCGTCAACGAACACTCATCACAGGAAGGACAATGGATACCTTTTGTAACAGGAAGATATCTAGAGTAGTGTGCTTCCACCAAGGATCGAACCAGCGACCACCAGTTTCCCAGCCCGCCGTTCTTCCGATCGAGCTAGAGGGAAATTCAAGCGTGAAACTAAAAGGCGACAGTAATACTATGTACAATTAATATCTGCCACATTAGTATAAAGTACTATTGGCCTACCTTCAGTTGGCATTCATAGCCAATATGAATGCTTTGATTTGCCTTTGCTCAGTCAGTGACATGTACACCAGAGACGTAGTATACTGTTTATTATTGGCTTTATATGTCTCTGAGTAAACTAACCTGTGTAATTCAGAGATTTGCGTGTATCTCTACAAAAAAATCTCTCCACAATTAAGAATGTAACACCATAGCTGTTCTAGTAATCGGAGTCTAATTAAGATATATAATGAGTAAACTGTTCTGATAAACCTTACCAGGTATTACACCTTTGTACGTTTTCTCAAGAAGGGTCTGTTTTAATTTTCAATCCCGTTTGGTGATATCATTCGTTTTTAATCGATTTGATATTACTTATTGGAATGACTATGGACCGTTAATGTCTGATGAATTCCGTGAATATTGTGTACAGTAGTGTTACTCGAACCAGAGAACTAATTATATTTTATTGTGTTATGAAATATACACGTCTCTGCTTGAAACACAGTTATATCTTATTATATCAAAAAGACATAGGATGCGGAAAGAAGAGGGCCTAAAAGGACATTATTTTACATACACAATGAACCATTTTTTAATTAATTCCACTATATATCAATGTGCCCCCTCATAAATCTTTATATAATTATTTTGGCAAAACGACATACTCAAATTTGTATCTTTAAGAACCAAATTGTCTCTCATAAAGGATACTATGTTGGTCCGTTGATTTAATAAGCTTATGTCTTGTTTATCACAGGGACCTGAGCATTTGTTATAGCTATATTTGAACCTTAACTATATAAAGTGTTCAGAGTAATTTTACATGTTTTATGGGTTTAGACCGACTTTCGGTAAAAATGACATCCCCAATTGTCATATATCGCTCGTATATATGATCATTGGGGATGTCATTTTTCCCGAAAGTCGATATAAACCCCTAAAACATGTAAAATTACTCTGAACACCTTAGTTTAGGTTCAAATATAGGTTGTTTACGTTATGTGTTGAAACCGCAGTAATAATGCAGAAGGAGAAATATAAGAATATGTAATTCAATATATAGAGCTTGCTTTAAAACAGAAAGCTTAGTAATTTGTGCTGGACTTACAATAATATTATTTTAATTTGCCCAAAAACATTTCTCAAGCCGGTTAACTGAACGAACACAGAGCCATTGCTCAACGTAATTCGATAAAGACAATTGATCTACTTGCGCACAGGAACATATTTATATGATGTTCTGCTAACATTCGACAATTGCAAGCAGGTAAGTTAATGATGTAGAACTACAGGATGTTCTGTTTAACATTTGGGTTGAATTGTGTCATATATTTTAAAAGTGTGCTAAGAGTTTACATAGTACGTTGATCCATATCACACAGGATACTCACACAGGGGCTCGGTTTATACTACATAACCGTTTTAGGCCTACCTCGGTACCCTCAATTTTTATAAGGTTTTAGAATGTGTATAAACACCGGATATAAAGTGTTGCTGTTATTTACTGGTGTGTATAGGTTTATTATTAATCAAACCGAGCCCCTGTGCCGTGGATACTCAGTGACAGTTCTGTAGTGGTCCTGCATATAAGTGCCCCAGTGCATTATTAAAGACGACAGGTAACAGTTAAGGATGCCTGTCCCGGTAAAGAATTCCACCAAGAAACGTCTTCTTCTGGACCCGTATTGATACCGGATCTTGACTGATAAAATAAAATTTTGTTTGGGACATGACTACCAGGACTGGGCCAAATAACTACTAATGCATCCTTTGTCCGTCTATCCATCTGTCTGTACTAGTGTAGCGGGACTGGACTTGGTCGATCGTCGGCGACTAGATAGCTCTATTGGTAGAGCATCCTTCTAGAGTTTGGAGGGTTCCGGGCCCGCCCGACTCCTGGGTTCGAACCCGTCTCCTGTTACATTTGGCACCCAATGAAATTGTTACATTTGGCGCCCAACGAAATATACCCACAGAAGGTGGTATAGGGTCTCGTGTGTCTTCGGGTCGAAGACTTTGTTAAAGGAGAGAGGAATGTAGCGGAACTGGACTTGGTCGATTGTCGGCGACAAAGTAGCTCAATTGGTAGAGCATCTGTCCATAGAGTTCGGAGAGTCCCTGGTTGGAACCCCGGTCTGGCTGTGCATTTTTCCTCTCCTGTTACACTAGTACTGTAGACACAATCTTGTCGCACAACTGAACTCTACAGTTTTCTGTCAAACTTTGTGAAATTTCACTGATGTATTTGTTAATATTTGGATCCGTCCGTTTTTATGGGAGTTATACCCCCTTTTTACCAAAGTTTAACTAGCTAAAACAATACTGTCTGCACAACTCCTACAGGTTTCAGTCAAACTTCACAAATCTAAAGTGATGAGGTTAACACACTATAAAGCATCTGCAATTGATATTTCGATCTGGCTATATTTTATGGGAGTTATGTCCCTTAGTTTAAAACATTGTTCATACTAATCCTCCCTAAGTACTGCAAGAATTTGATGGACACTTGGTACACATAGCCCTAACATCAATGGGATGTAAATAAAGTATATAAAATAAATGGGTGTTGCCTCCCCTTTTTATGGAGTTAAGCCCCTTTGTTTAAAGCATTGTTCACACTACTCGCAAAGTACTGCAACTATTTGTTTGACACTTAATTGGTACACAGAACCCTAACATGAATGGGATTTCAATAAAAGTATGTAAATTGGTGTTATCTCCCCTTATTATGAAGTATGCCCCTTTGTTTAAAACTTTGTTCACACTACATGTACTTGGGGTCCAAAATTATTTAAAGTTATGTTTGTGTTAATGTTTATAATCACACTTGAGTGTGCCAGATGTATGAGCCAAAGACCTGAGCAAATGTCAAATGAACGAAGCCCCTCAAAGTGGGGTGTGGGTCCATGGGCAAATGAAATAATAATAATATATATAATAAATATACATTTGAGAAATGCATAATAGAATTGTTTTATCACTTAGCAAATCCATATTATATGATATAATATAATAATTTATCACTTAGTTAAACAATGTTTGTTATGATTTACATACATACAAGAACAGGTAGACAGAACAAAAAACAACACTTTTAGGAGTCTACATTTCTGAGATTGAGAATAAAAATACATAATTGATGACATTTTGTTTTTTTATGTTTGTAGTGATGGCATCAAGTTGGACTGGCTAAGGTCATTCAGTGTGTTTCCCACTACATTGTTGTCTGTACCACTGCAGACATGGCGTCACTAAGGCAGAGCATGCTGGCCTACGGAACACAAGCTATGGCTTTCTCACTCATATCCTCATCCTTCAACTTCTACTATGTGAAGGTATTCTTGGATGTATACCACATAGAACAGATGTGGTTCCAACTTGCTCAAGTGCTTTTCCTGGTGTGGAACGCTATAAACGACCCACTGTTTGCCTACCTTCAAGAGTCTACCAGCAGCCGATTCACCCGCACGAGGCGGGAGAGCATTCTGTACGGAGCCCCATTTTTTGCATTGTCTTATGTAGTGCCCTGGTTTTCCTGGGGTAACAGCCCAATAATAGTGGGACTGCATCTCATATTCACCCTGTTCTTCTGGGATACCATGCTTACATTTGTTGGATTGGCCACTTCAGCACTCTTCACTGAAATATCACAGGACCCTGACCACAGATTAAAACTCGTGAGGATTGGTAGTATAGGGTGTCTACTGGGAGCGTTTAGTGTGTCTATACTAGAGTTCACCTCCGGCAGTCTGACTAACTTCTTCAGGTTCCAGGTTGGGAGCATTTGTATAGGTGTGGTTAGCTACATGTTGTTTCGATACACTGGTATGCATGGCCACACTCAGTATGATCGTGAGAAGATGAACTCGGGAACGGAGTCAGATATCTCGCACGACAAGAGCATGCAGAATATGTCATACTGGAGTGTCACATGGCAGATCCTCACTGACAAAAACTTCCTGTCTTTTGTTGTGATGAACTTTTTCCAGATATTTCATACAACATTTATGGCTAACTTCATGAAAGTGATAGGTGATGAACTGATACCCTTGGACACAATAGAAGCATTTCCATGGTTACGGAGCTTCTTCTACGGCAGCAGCAGGTTCCTCCCAATGGTAAGAGGTTCATAAAGTACCAGATTTGATTTTTCTCTGTGTTACTGTCATGTTTCTTTAGTAGAATGGAATTCATGTAATGTTGAATTTGTGGTTTCAGAATTAATGGGTCTGTAGATAACAGTACCGTTAGTGTTTTTGCTAGAAATAATTCTGGTTTATACACAGATTCACTGTACCATAAAAAATCAGGAAAACAATAATGCATTTTTTTTTTTTTTAAAGAGAACAAAAAGTATATAACTAAGGATTAGAACCATGATTTCAACACCTTCTCCATATTGATATCAGGGTATTTCCTCCATAAACATAGTGTCTTCTCATTCTGTATATTATTAGCTATGAGGTTATCTGGTAAGGTTTCAAGGTTTACATAACCGGTTATTGTCCCTGAACATTTGAGGGGTGGTAGAGTTATTAGGTCAGATGAGATTGAGGCCCCTCTAGGACTTCCAAACGTATCATTTACTCAGTAGAAAAGTTCAAATTTAATACCATTTGAAAAAAACATACTCCTGACAGCCTCTATAGTGAAACAGCTCTTTAAGGAAAAAGTTACATGTATTTGTAAATTTCAGATTTTTCTCAAAGAAAAGCATGTTGAAAATAGGCATCAATGAATTGTTGGGTTAATTAGACATTGAAGAACTTGACCCTAGTACTTGTACAAGTAAATGACAGAGAATGTAACTATGTCAGTGTTTGTGTATTCATAATTATTTTTTAACAGTGAAACTGGATTTGTGTTGCGATTGACATAAAGTTTATGTTTTAGATACTTGTTATTTGTGCGACACCAGTGATAGGCAGGCTTGGGTACTACACCACTATCAAGATCAGCTTTGTGTGGAAGGTCGGGGCGGGCACTGTCATGTATATGATTGGAAGGGACCAGCCACTTTTACTCATGGTTTTTTTGGCTCTCGACAGGTAATCAGCAGATTTGGAATAAACTTGTATACATTGTCTATTGATTTTTAGCTCACCTGGTACCACCAAAGGACCATGGTGAGCTTATGTCATACCACAGCGTCCGTCTGTCGTCCGTCCGTCAACTTTTCCTTTAAAACGCTACTAGTCCTGAACGGCAAAGTAGATTTTGACTAAATTTGGTCGGGAGCATCCTTAG